TCACTTGGGCCACTGACTGTGTAACTTTGGCAAGTTGTGTCATCTCTTGAAACAAAATGGGAGTAACCTTTTAGAGTTATTGGGAAGATTAAATTAGTTAATGCATATAAATTCTCTAGCACAAGGCCTAGATCTTGGTAAGTTGTTTTTTAAAAAATTAATTCATTAATTTGACTGTACAGGTTCTTAGTTGCAGCATGCAGGATCTTTAACTGTAGCGTGTGGGATCTAGTTCCCTGGTCAGGGACCAAACCCGGGCCATTGGAAGCATGGAGTCTTAGCCACTGGACCCTAGAGTCGTCCCACTAAGTTCTTAATAAATATAAACTATTGTGATTATCATTATCATTCTTTAATCAGTTTCTTCTTCATGGGCAGTTAACCTGTCAGGGTCTAATTAAGAAATAGACAATCAGTTAGAGTTCAATTTAAAAAAAGAAAGCAATGGAAACCACAGGAGAACTTAGAACAGAAGAAATGTAACACAGAGTATTGGTTACAAAGGTGATAAGAAAGCTGAGAAATAAAATAGGGGAAATTAGAAACCCCAAAGATTACCAGTAGCAAGAAGGCACTACTTCTGTTAAGTGGAAGAGAGGGATGGGCAGTAACCAGAGCCCAGGGCCAGGGTCACTGGTAGAAGCTACAATCATGGCAGACCTTTCCTATGGGAGCTCAAACCAGGGAGGAAATTCACCTACTTCTGGAGATGCCATCTGACACGAAGAGGGCTGGATTCTCTCCCTCCAGAACCTCCCATTGCAGACCCATCAAGGCACCTAGAAATGGAGTCTTCAGGGATCAGCCTTGAGATACAGAGCAGAGCAGAGGAAGAGAATGTGGATGGAGTGGATCTGATGGTAACAGACTCAGGACCAGCATAGTCCACCCCTTTTAATATCCAGCATTCATTCTTATGCTCCCACCTATATTTAATGTCAGGTGTGAAACACCTCTCTTTTACAAAAGCCTTCTCCATCTTCCCTCTGACAAGAGGAGCTGCAAATTCCATCAGTCGTCATACTAATCTTGGATCCAAGATCTCCAGGTAAATTTCAGCACTCCCCATCTACTTTGGATGTGGCTTCTCATGGCCTAGTGAATTCACTGTGAAATTAAACATCAACAACATTCTTCACATAAAATATGAGGGTGAGAGGAAAAGCAGAAAAAAATGATCAATAGATAATAGGTTCATAAAAATATGTACAGACCCTTCAGTTCTTATTTCTCTAACTGGGCACAAAGATCATCACTGATATTTTCTCACCGATAAAATATAATTTTTTTCATTGAGATTCCATCACCCGTTCCATGTAGCCTTGGCTGTTAGTCAGTCCATTGGTTATTTGGGATTATTTACTTGATGAAAAATATCTTCATACCTAAATGGTCTGAATCTTTATTTTTCTATGGTTTTATTGGGTTACTTTCCTCTTTAAGCAGACTTTAATATTGGACATGCAATTACTGTTCTTTAGCTATTTCCAGATTCTAAATGGCCCTGTAATGACTATCCTAAGTCCCAAATATGGTCATTCCTGCGCCAGATGTGTAGCAGCAACTCAATTTTCCCATGATAATTAATACTAATAACCCCTGACCTGCTTTCTCAGTTTGACCTGAGGAATCCTGGATGGTCAGTAGCCCCTACTCCACTTCAAGTTTAGTGGGACCATTATTTTATCTCCTGAAGAAATAACACTTTTCCTGAGGACATAGTTCACAAAAGTAGTAGCACCCAAGGTTTGGGGATGGAAACAAGAGCTTGCCCAGTGATTTATCGGGTGTAACAGTGAAAGTGGCCCCTCCCAGCTTTATACCTTAGTTCCCAGAGCCTTCAGGGCAGCACTTCAACCTTGTAGGTGCTAACTCCGAGTTGTTGTTGATGTTGTTTAGTCACTAAGTCTTGTCTGACTTTCTCTATCAGCTGGGCAGTCCTCATATGGCAGTGTGAATTGAAGAAGGATCAGCACCATAGTAAATGGTGATAGATGTAACTTGCTTGTTTCTTCCAGATGTACTTGGACCTAATCTCACAGACAGCACTTCCAATGAAAAGAATTGTTTCTGCTCACACCAACCATTATGGCTCAGTGGGGTTGAGAGCACTCAACTCATGGTAGGAAGCCCAAGCCACTCAGAGTCCGTGGTACAGTAGATGCTGTGGCACCCTGCCCCAATCCAGGACTGAGACAGCCGTTGTCTTCCTGAAATAACACTTTCTGCAAGAACATGAGCCTAGTTGATTCCCCTTTGGAAATTTCCCAGAGCCTATGGAAGCAGACTCGCTCAAAGTTCTGCCCCCATCTCTGGGGGAAGCCCACACGCAGTACCTGGTCGTTGTAGCAATATCTGGCTCCCTTTTCTCTTCAAGGCAAGACAACTCTACAGAGACAGCTCACACCCAGACCTCCCTGTGTGATCAGCGGAGGCTTCTGTTGCAACCACATCACCATTCAACTTCTCCTCTTAGCCAGTCCTGACTCTTTTGGTCTCTTACAGTTGTTGTGCCCAAGTGCGGTCCCCAGTATGCCTCCTGGGTGCAGTCTGCATCTCAGAGTTGACTCTGTGGGGAACCAAATGCAGAGTCAAGTGTTTAAACTCTGTGAAGTCCTTGAGGCATGTCAGGGTCTTCTCCGGGGAAGAACAGTTATCAGCTCAGAAAGGCACAGCTTTGCTTCAAAACTCTGTGGGACTATGCTGTGATTCTCTTACTGGAATTTCCTATTCCACACAACTTTGAGGGCTTCTCTGGTGGTCCAGTGGTTAAGTAGCCACCTGCCAATGCAGGGGACATGGGTTCAATCCCTGGTCCGGGAAAATCCTACATGCTGTGGGGCAACGGAGCCCATGCACCACAACTACTGCATCTGTGCTCCGCAACAAGATAAGCCACCACAATCGGCCTGAGCCCCGCAACTAGAGGGTAGCCTCTGCTCTCCGCAACTAGAGAAAGCCTGCATGCAGCAATGAAGACCCAGCACAGCCAAAAATAAATAAATTCATTAATTTTAAAAAAGCTTTGAGTACCATTGAATCTGTTGGATCATAAGCCTGAGTGACAGCCTGTACCCACTAAAGAATCTGCTCTTACTCCGAGCCCTACTTGAAGACTAAGTCTTGCAGATCACTTGGTAGATAGGTTGGACCATCATACCCAAGTACAGAATATATACCCTCAGAAATGGTACAGATAGCTCAGTAAGATACATTAATTTTACATATACTCACTGATGTCTACTGTACATCAGTCACTCTGGGAGATGTAGGGAAAAAATGAAAAGTGGATTCAGCCTTAGAAGAATTTCATCTAGTCAGTTGCAAAGCAAAATGAGCCATGATGATGGCTCTTTTGGGCAGTGCCATATTATATTTATGTATGAAGTGTCATGAGCATGCAAGAAGAGAGTCATCATTCCTACCCTGGCAGGCTGAATAGGACGAGGAGGTGATACCTGGTCATATTAAACTGTGGACTGATCAGCTCAATGAACAGCAAAATACTTTTCTGAAGCCAGATATTAAAGGTGTTTATATGATTTATGAGATTTAATGATTTAAATTTAATGATTCTGAGATTTAAGCTGTTTCTAAGTACATAATTCACCTATCATATACATTTGTTTTCTGGGTTTGGATCCTAAAAAATACAACAGAATGAATTTCTGTTTCTACTTTGTGAAGGGGTAATTTAAAAATAATTAAGATAATTTCTTCTCTTCAAAACAACAATATAATTCTCACTATTTTAATTTTCTGCTCATGGCCTGGCATTGAACAATGATTAAAAAACTATACACTTAATTATAGATTATGTGCTAAATGGATGTTCTAAGTAGATTGTTGAATACGCAGTATTGGCACCAAATTTTGAGAGTTGAACACAGCCTTTCTTTTGTTTCATGAATCATATGCAAGATACTCAGAACACCCTGGCATTAATTCTCATTTACTATTTCTAAAGTTTTTCTTTTTTAACTAGGAAGTGTTTTTGGAAATAAAATCAGGAAATGTTTAGCAACTTGCAGAAACAATCTATATACAATATATCATATACTCTTAAGTCAAATGTAATCAAGATTGAATAATTTATATTTTGCTATTAACATGAAAGATTATTTTGAGATTTTTTTTAGAAAAGGAAAATTTCTGATGCCTTTTTTCCCCTAAACCAACATGCACACAGCTATTGAAATGTCTTGCTTTACATTTGTGTACTTGAGATGATGTTGATAGTTAACAATAATGTGTGTAAATTAATATACCTCTAATAGTATAAATTAGATAAATTTGATGAATTCAAGCATTTTTGGCTGACTGTTAGACCTGATTATTGGATGGTTGCTGATTCAAACCTTGTAAATTCACAGGAGATATGTCAAGTTTGCCCCTTTTTGTTGTTGTTCAGTTGTGCTTGCTTTGTTAGTGTTATCTTTGATCCCAGGTCCTTTTGTAGGCCCAATTTTACCACATTTTGGGCAGGTTACTTAAGCTAAAAGGAGATAATATAGTCTGTAAATCCATGTAGCCCAGTGTCTGTAAACTTCAGTGCATTGCCATGAGCTGGAAGCAAGGAAAGCATCAAGGGCACAGTTGTCAGCTGCTCCAGGTCATGGGGACACCTCTCATCCCTCACCTCCTGGGATTCCCCTGGAGAACACATGGATGTCATGGTATCGGTGTGATATGAGCTGAATATTATCACTAATCTAATTCTGTGTCTCTGAAGTTTGACAGTAAAAGGATTTAGGGCCCAGTGAGGTAGGTGAAGTCTGAGGACTGGGGTCCATCAGCAGTGACTACAGATGGATTCCCCTGCTTCTAGCAGAGGTGACAGAGCTTGTGATGCTGGGCAACCCTCTCTGCAGCAGCTCCCCTGGTGGGTGGTTTAGGCCAGGGCTATTCCAGGAGGCAGTCAGATTTCTCTGTGTACCCTGTATGGGGTAAAACGAAGGCCGCTTTGCATCTATCCTGAAAAAGCGAGCCTTTGAGGCTGGATGATGGGGAGTCTGCTGCGTGATTCGGTGAGCCAGACCCGCCCCGCACCGCACCCCGCAAGTGTCAGCCCCTTGGAGACCACTGCAGGGGTGCAGTTGGAAGGAGGCTAAAAGACTAGATCTTACCAAGGGGGTAGGTGGGGTGGGATGAATTGGGAGATTGGGATTGACATATATACACTCCTGATACTCTGTATAAGAAAGATTACCAATGAGAACCTACTGTATAGCCAGAGAACTCCACTCAGTGTTCTACGGTGACCTAAATGGGAAGGAAAGTTAAAAAAAAGCGGTGGCGCTAGTGGTAAAGAACCCGCCTGCCAATGCAGGAGACATAAGAGATGCGGATTTGATCCCTGGGTTGGGAAAATCCCCTGGAGGAGGGCATGGCAACCCACTCCAGTATTCCTTCCTGGAGAATCCCATGGACAGAGGAGCCTGGTGGGCTACAGTCCGCAGGGTCGCGCAGAGTCAGACACGACTGAAGTGACTTAGCACGCGCACATGCACGTAGCTGATTCACTTTGCCGTGCGGCAGAAACCAGCACAGCATTATAAAGCAGCTATATTCCAATAAAAATTAAAAAATAAGAACGACTAGATCGTAAGTGCTCTCACCACACCAAAGAAACGGGTCTTCTCGTTGGTGACCTTTGCCAAGAAGGAGTAATCAAGTGGCAGCAGTCAGAGGCTGGAGTGCGGGCCTTGGGTGCACAGTCCTCTTCGGGGAGGGTGGGGTTTTACGGCAGAAGCCCAGAGCCGCTGGAGGGGGAGCGCCCACTTCAGGTGTCGGGACCCCTGCCCGAGAGCCTGTCGCTCCTGCTCCTGGCCCGTGCTGTGGAGGAGGGACGACCAGGCCCACAGCGTCCTGCTCGGCGGGGCACAGACCGTGAGTGGTGGCTTCTCCAGCCCAGGGGTCTGGTGGCAGATCAGGAACATTCAGTCACTCTCTAGGAGAGCCGCCTCCAACTTGAGACTGGGAAGGGGCCCTCTCTGACTTGCAACCAGACCTCATTATCTTCGCCCCCGACTCAGTCTCAGCCTTATGTAGGGGCTACTGGTTGAATTTCGTAGGTTCTGTTCTGTTCACTGACCTCCTGTGCTCTCTTTGGTTTATGTTTATTTTCATATATTTAAATGTTTATGAGGGCTTCCCAGGTGGCTCAGGGGTAAAGTATCTTCCTGCCAATGCAGGAGATGTGGATTCAGTCCCTAGGTGGGGAAGATCCCCTGGAGTAGGAAATGGCAACCACTCCAGTATTCTTGCCTGGAGAAATCCCATGGACAGAGGAGCCTGGAGGGGCTACAGTCCATAGGGTTGCAAAAGAGTCAAACATGACTTAGCGACTAAACAGTGATGGCAACAAATGTTTATGAGTAAGTGATACAATGACGTAGTCCAGAATTAAACAGCAATAAATGGTTATATACAGTGAAAACTCTTCCCTTCCATCCCCCAGTCCATCCTTCTCTCCAGAGGCAACTGTTATTGTCAGATCCTTGTGACTATCTGAGATTTTATATGCATACATGTATGTGTGTCTCAACAAGTATCTATTTTATGTCCCTGGCAGACTCGTGGTAGAATACTGTGTACATTGTCTTACACTTTTTTCACTTAATTTATCTTGGAGAGGTTTGCTTTCATATTAGTACATTAAAAGCTTTGTTATTATTTTTGACAATTACATGATTTTCCTCTGTATGTATGTATCATATTTTATTTAACCCATCACCTATTGATGGATATTTAGATGGTTTCTGATCTTTTGGTATTACTATGTTGTATAGAATGACCTGGTACAGTATAATTCCCATGTGTGAGAATATTTACAAGGATTAATTCTGAGAAGAGAAAAATCCTAAGTCAAAATGTATGAATATTCATGATTTTTACTGATACTGCCAAATTATCCACCATAAATGACATACCAGTTTTCAGTCCCTCAAAGACTGTGTGAAAGAACTGGGTTTTTTTTTTTTAATCTTTACCATCCTAGTGTATTACCAATCTTTTTTGCTTTTGCCAGCCTACTAGATTGAAAATGATATCTTGGTGGAATTTTAATTTGTTTTTCCTTAATAAGAGTGAAGTTAAGCATAGATTCCTATGTCTAAGATGAATGCATTTTTATATATCTGTGAACTGTCTGTTCAAATCTTTCATCCGTTTTTCTACCGAGTTATTTGTCTACCAGTGCTTTATATGTTCCTTTGGGTTGTACTTTGAGTATTTCTGGGACTTGCATGTTTATTTTTCTCATGGTATTTTGAGTGTGTGTGTAGTCAAATTTATCATATATGCATATATGTATGCACATGTATATATATCTCCCCCTACTTTTTGCATGGCTTCTGGATTTGTGTTTTAGAAAAGGATTCCTCACTCTTATACTGAAATTTTTTCATCTTTATTTATTCTAGTACTTTGATTGTTTCTTCCATTTATATACTTACATTTTGATCCATTTGTCATTTGTCCTTATGTAAGCTGCATGGTTACCGAGATGTTGCAATACCATTTATTAAATAATTTGTCTTTTCCCCACTGATTAGAACTATAATCTATAATTATTTATATTACATTTATAAACTATAATTATTACCACATTTTAAAATTTTTATTTCTCCTGAATCTTCTATTATTTTCCATTGATTTCAGTACCACCTTTTAAATGACTATATTAAAATAAGTGAAAGGAATGTTGGTCCCTCATTATTTTTATCAGAAGTCTTCTGAATATTATTGCTTATTTATTGCCTTATTGTTAAAAATAAAAACTAAGGGCTTCCCTGGTGATCCACCTTGCAATGCAGGGGCCACAGGTTCGATCCGTGGTCAGTGAAGATCTGACATGCTGCTGGGGAACGAAACCTGTGCGCCACAGCTACTGAACCCGATGCTCTGAGTCCCTGAGCCACAAATACTGAGGACTGCGCACCCTAGAGCCTGTGCCCCGCAACAAGAGAAGCCACTGCAATGAGAGGACCGCACACTGCAACGAGAGAGTAACCCCTGCCTGCCTGCTGCAGCTAGAGAAAGCCCATGAGCAGCACTGAAGACTGCAGCCAAAAAAATAAAATAAAAACAACTAGAACCAGCCTGTCTATACACACATAAAAGATGAAAAGCCCATGTTATCTCAAAGAATACTGACATCTTTGACATATTGATTGATTCTTCTCATGCATGTGGTAAACTTACATTTATTCAAGTATTTTCTTGAGCCTCACAGTTAAAGTTCTCATGTCATAGATCTTGCCCTGGACTTCAAGTCTACCATCGTGTGGCCACTACTGAACCAGTGAGAAGGGTCCAGACTGCATTAACCACCCAAGGGACTACCAGTGGTATGAACCATTTTTTTAGAAAATCATCTTAATTGAGGTATAATCTACATACAATAAATTATATATTATTCATGAATTTTTACTCAAAACATAGCATGTAAAAAAATTTTGTTCACCACAATGAGATATCATTCCACAACTTTCAGAAAGGCTATAATCAGAAAGACAACAAATGACAAATGTTGGAAAGGATATGGAGAAAAGAGAACCTTCATGCACTGTTGGGAATGTAAATTGGTGCAGCCACTATGGAAAACAGTATGGAGATATCTCAAAAAATTAGAGGTAGAACTACCATATAGTCCAGCAATTCCATTTCTGGGTACTTTTCAACCCCCACCCCCCCACAAACACTAATTTGAAAAGACATGTGTTCCCTTATGTTCACTGCAGCATTATCCACAACAGTCAAGATACAGAAATAACCTATGTATCCATAAATATATGAATAGATAAAAAAGATGTGGTATGTGTATGTACACACACACACACACACACACACACACACACACACATTGGAATACTCAGTTCAGTTCAGTTCAGTTGCTCAGTCATGTCCGACTCTTTGCAACCCCATGAACCGCAGCATGCCAGGCCTCCCTGTCCGTCACCAACTCTGGGAGTTTGCCCAAACCCATGTCCATCAAGTTGGTGATGCCATCCAGCCATTTCATCCTCTGTTGTCCCCTTCTTCTCCTGACCCCAATCCCTCCCAGCGTCAGGGTCTTTTCCAATGAGTCAGCTTTTTGCATCAGGTGGCCAAAGTATTGGAGCTTCAGCTTCAGCATTAATCCTTCCAATGAATAATCAGGATTGATTTCCTTTAGGATGGACTGGTTGGATCTCCTTGCAGTCCAAGGGACTCTCAAGAGTCTTCTCCAACAGCACAGTTCAAAAGCAGCAGTTCTTCAGTACTCAGCTTTCTTTTGTTCAACTCTCTGCGACCCCATGGATTGCAGCCAGCCAGGTTTCTCTGTCCATAGAATTTCCCTAGGCAAGAATACTGGAGTGAGTTGCCATTTTCTTCTCCAGAGGATCTTCTGGACCCAGGGATCAAATGTGCATCTCCTGCATTGAAAGGTGAATTCTTGACTGCTGAGCCAGCAGGGAAACTGTATTGCATTTGCCTCCCTCTGGTCCCAGAAAGGTCATATTTAACTCCTTTTTGACGTCTATGGGAGGCTAAGGAGTCCAGTTGACCATATAAATATCATGTAGGAGAAAGAATGATGTATTAAGGCCAAGGAGATCTGGGCATCCTCATCTTGGCCTGTCTGGTATCCACCTGACAGGCCAATACGTTCAGCTTTTTTCAATTTCCACAACAGAGGGATATGTATTGATAATACCTGCTTGGTCTACATTTAGGATTATTATGAGGGTTAAATGAGATAGAGTGTACAAAAGGTATTAATAAAGTCAAAAGGTAATGAAAATACAAGGGATTATTATCTCTATTTTAAAGAAACTCATCATCTAATGGGGTAATATATAGCTTTTGGGGTGCTGGTTACATGACTATGTTCACTTTGTGAAAATCCATTGAGCTGTACAATGATAACGTGTGTACCTTTCTGCATGTATGTTAGGTTCAGTAGAGTTTACCGAAAAGTAAACTGGATTTATTTGAACTTTGTAATATGCATTCGTAGATTTCAGTGTAGCATTACATTTTATCAGATGTTCCAGTACAATTTATTTGCCTCTTCTCCTGGTGATGGACATTTGGGTTGTTTCTGGTTTGGGGCGTTCATGAACAATGCTTGTGCGTGTCTCCTAGGACACATGAGTACAAGATGCTCAGGGAGTGGAATATCTGAATCATTGTCTGTGGGCATCTTCAGGTTTACTAGATCATGCTAAACTGGTGTTTGAAGGTAAGCTCCAGTCCTCCTCCCCACCAGAACTGTATGAGATTACTCTCATTGGCTTGATGGTGGTGGTGGTTTAGTTGCTAAGTCGTGTCTGACTCTTGCAACCCCACGCACTATAGCCCGCCAGACTCCTCTGTCCATGGGATTTTCCAGGCAAGAATTCTGGCGTAGGTTTGCTTGATAGTCATTAGAATTTTGCCAATCTGACCAGTGTTCTGTGATATTTAATTGTGATGCTACTTTGCATTTTCCTCACATTGAACCTATGTGTACTGGACTTTTTGGATTTCTTCTTTTGAGAACTCCTTCCTCAAGGCTTTGCCCATTTCCCTACTGGGCTTTTGTTTTCTTATTGATCTGGATTGAGGATTACTTAAGAATTCTGGGACTCTGAGTGGACAAATACTCAGACACATTCTAATATGTTCCCTTGGGAAGAAGTTACAGCTTTGACATCTCTGAGGTCACCAGCTGTGCTGCTTCTCTCAACGTGTCACAGGGGAGGATGGATTTTCCATTATGTTTTTATTACTGATTCCTATCTTAATGGCATTATAGCTAATCCTTTTGAAATTGACTTATGGCCTTACTGTATAGGCATTTTTCTAAATATTCCAGGTGTGATGTGAAGGATGTATATTTTGCAGATGGTTGTTGTGGGTCTACACATGTGCATTATATCAAGTGTGTTACATGAGCTATTCAAATCTGTATCCCTTGTTGATTTTTTTGTCTGCTTGTCCTATTAATTACTGAGATGAATATACTAAAATATTCCATTGAAGTAAAAGATTTGTCTATCATTGTAGTTCTGTCCACTTTTGCTTTACATAAGACTGTTTCTGTCTATTTCACTTTCCATAGTACAAGTCCATGTCCTTAGTCTGGTTCATTGTCAACAGGAAAACAGAGCCCCTATATCTGCCTTGTAGTGTGGCCACAACCCCTGCATCATGAGTCTTTTCCTTTCATCTTCCTTTATAATCCTGCCTCACTGACTTTACAGAAGAAAGGGACTTTATACACCCTTTTCCCTTCTTACTATGGTTCTTTGCCTCCAGAGCACCAAAGGGTACTCTGAAATATTAGTTATTAATATTAATAAAGAACCCATAAATTGAAGTCAAGGCTTTGTGTTTTTCATTAGTTAGACATATATGTGTTAGGGACACAGCATGGCATTAGACTACGATGGGATTTTGATATATAACTTAAGACTGTATAAAAAGCTCCATGACATTATGTAGTAAAATTTCTCCCATTTCCACCCACTGATATATATATATATGAACATATTTTCTAATGATTTACATATATAGAGATGGAAAGAGGAACAGAAGTTATGTTGATCCTTGTCTCAGTCTAATCAGTTCAATTCAGTCTGTCAGTCATGTCCAACTCTTCGCAGCCTCATGGACTGCAGCATGCCAGGCTTCCCTGTCCATCACAAACTCCCAGAGCTTGCTCAAATTCATGTCCATCGAGTCAGTGATGACATCCAACCATCTCATCCTCTGTCGTCCCCTTCTCCTCCTGCCTTCAATCTTTCCAAGCATCAGGGTCTTTTCTAATGAGTCTGTTCTTCGCATTAGGTGGCCAAAGGATTGGAGTTTCAGCTTCAGCATCAGTCCTTCCAGTGAATATTCAGGACTGATCTCCTTTAGGATGGACTGGTTGGATCTCCTTGCAGTCCAAGGGACTCTCAAGAGTCTTATCCAACACCACAGTTCAAAAGCATCAATTCTTTGGTGCTCAGCTTTCATATAGTCCAACTCTCATATCCATACATGACTACTGGAAAAATCATAGCTTTGACCAGATGGACCCTCGTCGGCAAAGTAATGTCTCTGCTTTTTAATATGCTGTCTAGGTTGGTCATAACTTTTCTTCCAAGGAGCAAATGTCTTTTAATTTCATGGCTGCAGTCACTATCTGCAGTGATTTTGGAGCCCAAGAAAAGAAAGTCTGTCATTGTTTCCATTGTTTCCCCATCTATTTGCCATGAAGTGATGGGACTGGATGCTATGATCTTTGTTTTCTGAATGTTGAGTTTTAAGCAAACTTGTCACTCTCCTCTTTCACTTTCATCAAGAGGCCCTTTAGTTCTTCTTCACCTTCTGCCATGAGGGTGGTGTCATCTGCATATATGAGGTTATTGATATTTCTCTCTGCAATCTTGATTCCAGCTTGTGGTTCATCCAGCCTAACATTTCACATGATGTACTCTGCATCTAAGTTAAATAAGCAGGGTGACAATATATAGCCTTGATGTAATCCTTTCCCTATTTGGAACCAGTCTGTTGTTCCATGTCCAGTTCTAACTGTTGCTTCTTGACCTGCATGCAGTTTTTGCAGGAGGCAGGTAAGGTGGTCTGGTATTCCCATGTCTTGAATTTTCCACAGGTTGTTGTGATCTACACAGTCAAAAGTTTTGGCGTAGTCAATAAAGCAGAAGTAGATGTTTTTCTGGAATTCTCTAGCTTTTTCTATGATCCAACAGATGTTGGCAATTTGATCTCTGGTTCCATTGCCTCTTGTAAATCCAGCGTGAACATCTGAAAGTTCACGGTTCACGTACTGTTGAAGCCTGACTTGGAGAATTTTGAGCATTACTTTGCTAGTGTGTGAAATGAGTGCAATTGTGTGGTAGTATGAACACTCTTTGGCATTGCCCTGCTTTGAGATTGGAATGAAAACTGACCTTTTCCAATCCTGTGGGCACTGTTGAGTTTTCCAAATTTGCTGGCATAATGAGTACAGCACTTTCACAGCATCATCTTTTAGAATTTGAAATAGCTTCACTGGAATTCCATCACCTCCACTAGCTTTGTTCATAGTGATGCTTCCTAAGGCACACTTGACTTCGCATTCCAGGATGTCTGGCTCTAAGTGAGTGATCACACCATCGTGGTTATCTGGGTCATGAAGATCTTTTTTGTATAGCTCTTCTGTGTATTCTTGCCACTTCTTAATATCTTCTGCTTCTGTTAGGTCCATACCGTTTCTGTCCTTTATTGTGCCCATCTTTGCATAAAATGTTCCCTTGGTATCTCTAATTTTCTTAAAGAGATCTCTAGTCTTTCCCATTCTATTGTTTCCCTCTATTTCTTTGCATTGATCACTGAGGAAGGCTTTCTTATCTCTCCTTGCTATTCTTTGGAACTCTGCATTCAAATGGGTATCTCTTTCCTTTTCTCCTTTGCCTTTCACTTCTCTTCTTTGCTCAGCTATTTGTAATGCCTCCTCAGACAACCATTTGCTTTTTTGCATTTCTTTTTCTTGGTGATGGTCTTGATCACTGCCTCCTATACAGTGTCATGAACCTCCATCCATAGTTCTTCAGGCTCTCTATCAGATCTAATCCCTTGAATCTATTTCTCACTTCCACTGTATAATCATAAGGGATTTGATTTAGAGCATACCTGAAATGCCTAGTGGTTTTCCCTACTTTTCTCAATTTAAGTCTGAATTTGTCAATAAGGAGTTCATGATCTGAGCCGCAGTCTGCTCCCGGTCTTGTTTTTCTTGACTGTATAGAGCTTCTCCATCTTTGGCTGCAAAGATAATAGTCAATCTGATTTCAATATTGACCATCTGGTGATGTCCATGTGTAGTCTTCTCTTGTGTTGTTGGAAGAGGGTGTTTGCTACGACCAGTGCATTCTCTTGGCAAAACTCTGTTAGCCTTTGTCCTGCTTCATTCTGTACTCCGAGGCCAAATTTGCCTGTTACTCCAGGTATCTCTTGACTTCCTACTTTTGCATTCCAGTCCCCTATGATGAAAAGGACATCTTTTTTGGGTATTAGTTCTAGAAGGTCTTGTAGATCTTCATAGAGCTATTCAACTTCAGCTTCTTCGGCATTACTGGTTGGCACATACCCCAACCAGTTGGGGCATAGACTTGGATTACTGTGATGTTGAATGGTTTGCCTTGGAAACGAACAGAGATCATTTTGTCATTTATGAGATTGCACCCATGTACTGCATCTTGGACTCTTTTGTTGACTGTGAGGGCTGCTGCATTTCTTCTAAGGGACTCTTGCCCACAGTTTGAGACTGAGTTCTAGATTGAGTTATCATCGCCATTAATATTAGCATGTGCTGTGCTATGCTTAGTCGCCCAGTCATGTCTGACTCTTTGCAACCCCATGGACTGTAGCCTGCCAGGCTCTTACTAATATTAGGGGCTTCCCAGGGAGCTCAGCTGGTAAAGGATCTGCCTGCAGTGTGAGAGATCCCAGTTTGATTCCTGGCTTGGGAATTTCCCTGGAGAAGGGATAGGCTACCCACTCCAGTAATCTTGGGCTTCCCTGCTGGCTCAGATGGTAAAGAATCTGCCTGCAATGCGAGAATATGGGTTGGATGCCTGGGTTGGGAAGATCCCCTGGAGGAGGGCTTAGGAAACCCACTCCAGTTTTCTTGCCTAGAGAATCCCCATGGACAGAGGAGCCTGGTGGGCTACAGTCCGTGGGGTTGCAAAGAGTCGGACACGACTGAGCAGCTAAGCACAGCACAGCACATACTAATATTAATGGCAATGATAACTCAATCTAGATTGCTTTTTTAACATTTAGAGCTCCATGGTCATTTGAAACTAAAAAATTTAAATCAATTTTCCCATGTCTTAGTTGCAGATAAGGGTGATAAGGTAATCAGTTTTTAAAACTTTGAGATATAAAGCTATTTTTATGCAAAATTCTGAGTTTAAGAAGAAAAATTATGTGGAATTTCTGACTGTTAAAGATGAGTTCATTCATGTTTTAAATGGACAACAATGTGAATCAAATAGCATAGTATTTATTTTCCATTGTGTGTATTTAAAAGAATGTGAAAGGTTTTTCTTGAAATGTCAATTTCTGTGATACGCAAGAGATAACAAAAGTTTTTGAGATCAACTTTTGAAAAGTGTACAGTTCTTTTAGGGGTTTGCAAGCACAGCACGGTGGAAGACCCTGACCTCACGTTGGCCTAGTCCATCTCCTGCCTCTGGGCATTCAATTCGTGCTGGACATTTGAAAAACCATGGATTTCCTGGGAAGAAGTTTCCTCCCTTGGTAAAAGTGTTTCAGTAGCTCAGCACAATTACCATGTGGAAATTCTGATACTTCCCTTTTTATCTAATAGAAGGCACATGTGAGGAAGGGCTTGATTGTCCAATCAGGAAAGGAGTGTCACCATGTAGCACTGAGCGCTCAGAGTACTCCCGAGGTGCTGGAATGGTGGACCTCACTCCCTTTTTGAGCTCACATCTGATTGCCCACCTTATTCCAGCTGGAAAGAATAAGGGAGGAAGGGAAAATGAACAGATTATTTATGAAGTGCCTACCATGTTTGGGTACCTTACTAGCTACTTTCCTGTACGTTGTCTGATTTCTATAACAATCCATCCTACAGATGAAGAAATGAAACCTCAGGAAGATGACAGATGTGCCAAGTTTTTACAGCCTGTCAGCGGCATGGCTGGGATTTGATCCCAGGTCTGTCTGACTTGGTTATATCCATGGCCTCAGAATCAGAAGATGCATGTGCCTGCAGTCAAATTACTAGGCATCTCTGAGCTTAAGCTTCCTCATCTGTAAAATCAGCTAGTGATAGTTATTTTGCAGGTTGGTATTCACAATCTAGGGAATTAATGTGTGGGCATACTCAAATCTTTCACATAGGTCTGGCCCATGGAAGGCACTGAAGATATGATAATAAAATAATAAGGCACAAAGTTGGGTATTCTGGCACAATACTTTTGCCAGCAAAATGATGGCTGGTATTGGGGACATAAACCCTTGGGCATATAGCTACGTCTTGAAGGTGACAAGCTGAGTAGTACTTGCCTTAAACTTTGAGACGAAGCAGTTAAGACTGAAGGATGGACTTGATTTTGTGGTAGGCAAAAGGAAAGATGGCTATTGCCTCCCAGGCCTATCCATCCCACCCGCTTCTAACCAAGAATTTCCCACCATCCACTGTGTTAAGACAAAACAATGCAGTTCACAGAGCTCATTCTGCTGTCTGTTGGAGAAGAATAAAAAACCTCATGTTGCCTCATCCAGGCAAGGCAGTAGCCACAAGGGAACACCCTGCCTCCAAGACTCCCTTCCAGTTTTTCCACATGACAAAGCAGTTTCAAGCCTAAGACCCATCCTCAGCCTAGCGCACTAAACTTGATCAGAAAATGGCCAACAGAAAAACTCTAGGTATCCTGGACTGAGGCAAATCTCAGAATGAGAGCTATTCTTTATTCTTTTTTATATTTGAATCACTATTCATATAGCCATCATGCTCTTTGATGGATCTGCATTTAAAGCACTGATGTGTGTGTCTAAACTTTGCACCGAAGAGATGAATTTGTTAATCTGGGATAATCTAGCCCGATGTTCTTGGAGCCATTGGTGTTGTTTGGGCGCCACCTGGTGGTTGAAGAGGTCATCAGTTTTCCTAGCCCTGGCTACCTGCTAAGGATCGCCCCGAGATTCTCACAGGACTTCCAGTTGCTAGTTCTGCATATAAGTATTATTCTGTCCTGACAACATGTAAAAAGCTGAACAGATTGAACAACCAACAATTCTTTTAGGATCCCTAAGAGAGGTAGGACACAGTAAACCACTGCTTCCAAGATTACAGAGACCAACAGGCAAATACAGAGAATAATAGCTTAACGGAGCAGAGATTCACCAGCCAAAATACCTACAGGAACCAGTGCTGGCCAGGAAAACCTGAACGGTAACTGATGAATGGAGGACCCAGTCATAGGGCGACTGCCGCAATATTTTGAGCTGTGCTTCCAGGAGCTTGATCAGGTTCCCACAGTAAACAGCACAGAAAAATCCCCTCAGGCTTCCTGGAGGGGGACAGGAAAAGGGACCGTTCTGAAATATACCAGAGCACTCTGTGCTTCTTAACACCTGTCCTCAGGAAAAACTACTTAAGCAGGGCATAGCTGAGCCTGCTCAGTTATGGGAGAACCCAACTCCAGCCCAGTCTAGGCAGCCTGTTGTACCTAAGAGGGTGGAGAGCAGGAATGAGAAACACTTGTGAAGTTCACAGTCTAGCAGCAGAGGCTCCCAAGAGACCGAGACATGATCACAGGACCATAGAGATCTTCTCATATGCCCACAACTTCCCCTTATATCACTAAAGGCCCCGCGGTCCCTTCTACCCGGTTCGTCATCTCCAGCTACCAACAAAAAGCTTACAAACCACCCCAAAAGGCAAAAATTTGAAGAGACTGAGCAAGCATCAGAGCCAGACATGGCAGGAATGTTGGCATTATCAGTTCAGGAATTTAAAATAACTATAATTAATATGTTAGGGGCTCTAATGGATAAAGTAATCAGCATGCAAAAACAGATGGGCAAAGTAAGCAGAGAGATGGGCATCCTAAGAAAGAACCAGAAGGAAATGCTAGAGATAGAAAACACTTTTATGGGAATGAAGAATGTCTCTGATGGGCTCATTAGTAAAGTGGACACAGCTGAGGAGAGAATCTCTGAGTCTGAGTATCTCTCAATAGAATCCTCTGAGATGAAAAGCAAAGAGAACAGAGACTAGGAGACAGAACAGAATATTCAAAGGCTGTGGGGCAACTCTGAAAGGTGTAACACACCTAATGGAAACACCAGAAGGAGAGGAAAGGGAGAGAAGAACAGAAGAAATTCTTGAAACCATGACAGGGAATTTCCCCCAACTAATGTCAGACATCAAACCACAGAGGATAAATGCAAAAAAAAAAAAAAAAAAAAAAACAACAAAACCAGCCTACAGAGCCACCACCACCACTGGTGGTCCAGTGGTTAAGAAGCCACCTTCCAGTGAAGGATTGCAGGTTTCCTCCCTGGTTGGGGAGCTGAGATGCCATGTGCCACAGGGCAGCTAAGCCCATGCACCACATCTAGAGAGAAGCCAGCGCACCACAACGCAAGATCTTGAGTGCTGCAACTGAGTCGATGCAGCAAAATAAATACATAAATAAGTAAATATTAAACAAAACACACTACACCTGGGCACATGATTTTCTCATTACAAAAATCAAAGATAAAGAAAAAATCCCAAAAGGAACTGGGGGAGTGATCTTATCTATAGAGGATGAAAGGTAAGAATTACACCTAATATCTCTTCAGAACCCAGGAAAGCAAGACGAGAATGGAGGGAAACGTTTACAGCGTTGAGTGAAAACTCCCACCACCCTAGAATTCTGTACTGTGTGAAATTATTCTTCAAAAGTGAAGGGTAGATAAAGGCTTTCTTGGGCCAACACAACTGAGGGAATTTGCTGCCAGTAGATTTTCCTTCAAAAAACGTTTAAGAAGTTCTTTAGAGAGAGTGAAAATAATATAGGACAGAAACATGATCGACATTAAGAAAGGCAGAACATCAAAGAAGGATTCAATAATGGTAAAACAAAAACTATCAGTTTTCTTATTTTTAAAAATTTATTACTTATCATTAAATAATATTATTATAATTTTCTTATTCTTAATTGTTTAATAGTTTGTTCAGATTAATAATGGCAAAATATATTCAACTGTGATTATATATATATTTACATTTATGTATGCTTATATATTTAACTTATATGCAGAGTACATCATGAGAAATGCTGGGCTGGAGGAAGCTCAAGCTGGAATCAAGATTGCCGGGAGAAATATCAATAACCTCAGATATGCAGATGACACCACCCTTATGGCAGAAAGCAAAGAAGAACTAAAGAGCCTCTTGATGAAAGTAAAAGAGGAGAGTGAAAAAGTTGGCTTAAAGCTCAACATTCAGAAAACTAAGATCATGGCATCTGGTCCATCACTTCATGGCAAATAGATGGGCAAACAGTGGCTGACTTTATTTTTTTGGGCTCCAAAATCACTGCAGATGGTGATTGCAGCCATGAAATTAAAAGACGCTTACTCCTTGGAAGAAAAGTTATGACCAACCTAGACAGCATATTAAAAAGCAGAGACATTACTTTGCCAACAAAGGTACATCTAGTCAAGGCTATGGTTTTTCCAGTGGTCATGTATGGATGTGAGAGTTGGACTATAAAGAAAGCTGAGCGTCGAAGAATTGATGCTTTTGAACTGTGGTGTTGGATAAGACTCTTGAGAGTCTCTTGGACTGCAAGGAGATCCAACCAGTCCATCCTAAAGATCAGTACTGGGTGTTCATTGGAAGGACTGATGTTGAAGCTGAAACTCCAAAACTTTGGACACCTAAAGCAAAGATCTGACTCATTGGAAAGACCCTGATGCTGGGAAAGATTGAGGGCAGGAGGAGAAGGGGATAACAGAGGATGAGATGGCTAGATGGCATCACCGACTTGATGGACATGAGTTTGGGTAAACTCCGGGTGTTGGTGATGGACGGGGAGGCCTGGTGTGCTGTGGTTCCTGGGGTCACAAAAAGTCGGACACGACTGAGCGACCAAACTGAACTAAACTGAATGCTTATATATAAGTGAAATGGTTTATGGAAAATCTCTGTACCTTCCTCTTAATTTTCCTGAAAACCTAAAACTGTTATGAAAAAACAGAGTTTTTTTAAGTTTACGGTCATTTTTTTTTAAGTCTGTGGGGGTCATTCCCAGATGGCTCAGTGGTAAAGAATCTGCCTACAGTGCAGGAGATGTGGGTTCAATCCCTGGGTTGAGAAGATCCCCTGGAGAGGGAAATGGCAGCCCATTCCAGTATACTCACCTGGAGAATCCCATGGACAGAGGAGCCTGATAGGCTACAGTCCATAGGATCACAAAAGGGTCAGACACGACTTAGTGGCTAAAGAACAATTTGGTAGGGAGGGACATTAGTCTTGTTTAAAAAAACAGCTTCACAGATAATTCTAATGTGCAGCCAGGGTTGAGAACCACTGTGTGAGGTTTTCATTTTTAATTACTGATGGGTAGTTTTCTTTGATTTATTTCACAAAATATTGTTGTTGAGCTCTCCCCAGGTGCTAAGCACTGTGATAAGAGATGATGAGCCAAAAAAGACCAGTCCCCTGTCCTCACGTAGATTACAGATCTCAATAAAATAAATTTCCGATTCTTTAATAGTTATTATAGCTAATAACAGGGCAGCCTGAACTCATCTAGGGGTTAGCAAAGGTTTACCTAAGGAATTGACTTTTGAAGTGAGTTCTGAAAATTGAGTTGGAATTAACTAGGTAAGGGTGATGTACTGAACTACTTAGGTAATTGCCTCAGGTGTCCTTGCCCTTTTGGGCAAATGGCCCATGAAGTTGGAGGAGGCAGGCTTTTCCTGATCTGACTCTGATCTCTCCCTAAGTGGACAATAATGTCCCTGGATAATTGAAGACAATTATATATTTATTTCATTGAGTTAACGTAAGAAAGCAATAATGTAGGAAAGCGTTGTCTCTAGGGATAGCTACAAGTATGTGGATGAGGAAGATGAAGCACTGAAAGAAATGCAACCTAAAACATAAAAATGCTGTATTTCGTGAAACCGATTGGCAAAGGCAGATAAAT